TGTTATGTTTCTTGTGCAAAATTAAATGCATGCACACTGTCTAGTCCTTGCGACCTTTCCATGCCCATCAAAGTATCCAACGAAGTTCTCTCTTCCTTGCGTGCCCTACATCAGGCCTCAACACTGTATCCAAACAAGAACTGGATTTCTGAATCAACATTGCACGCCACTTCGCGATGATCGTGTACTATAGCGTAAGGGGGTGTTATATAAAAAAAGAACAGCATCTGCATCTCTGAGTTTATTCTGAAACACTCTCGTTGCGTTTTGTCTGAATGTAGAGGTAGCAAACCAGGACAAAGCAAATTCATTGACTAAGAGTGCATAACGGGATGTTGTCGCATCACGAGTCCCAAAATGCTGCGGTCGGATGACAGAAGTGGATCGGAGCAATAGTCGATGAACTCTCAGCACCAACTTACCTGGAAAAAAGAGATGCGATCCTCATTAGAGAACAGATACTCCTTATTTGTTGAAAGAAAAAAAAAATAATTACGTGCATGGGAGACCTCCTTTTTCGGAAACAATTGGTATTTGTAGATCCATCAGCGCCCTCGAAAAGATCAGCGAAGGTCTCACAACTAATTAGAGAAATCTAAATATTTCTGAGAAGCAAGTTCGGAGGATAATAACAAAAAACAAACTGCAATGTGTCTAAAGAAAGTAAATGTTAGACAACAAAACCTGTGCAAAATCTTTTGATGCGGTCAATCAGTAGGAACCATGTAATGCATTAAGTCCCTATGGTCGAAAACATCACAATCCTACAATCCAGCAAGGTAATTTTAAAATATTGCTTACTTTCAAGAAAAAACAAATCTACAAAAAGAAAAGTGTTACTGGAGGTAGGAGGTCTGTTCTATTTCGCTTTAACTTCATTAAAAACCGATACAAATGTACATAAATGAATAGTCAGTGTACATCCACGAGACATATTTCAACAAAAAAAGATGTAATATACAACCATATAGACAAAATCTCACCCAATGAATCATCATCGACTAGGAAGTTGTGCAAAAGTCCCAATATTAGGGCTACAACCCCCAACCATCATCCTTTTATAGACAGCATAAGCATGATCACTATCTCCTGATCTGCTATGCCCTCGAATGAGAGCATTATAAGTAAAAACATTCGGTTTTAGGCCCTTTAGTTGAAGTTCTTCATACATCTTTCCCGCTTCACCAACCATCCCTGCATTCCCAAAGTGGATTATCAAAGAGTTATAAGTATACAAGTCTGGAGAAATCCCTTTAACCTTCATTTCTTCGAAAAGAGCCATCGCTTCGTCTAATCTTTGAGACTTTCCAAGGCCGTTGATCATAAAGTTGTAAGCATATAAGTCAGGTTCAACTCCCGCTGCTATCATCTCCTCAAAATAACAGAGAGCATCATCTACCCGGTCAATTATGCAAAGGGTATCGATAAGAATGGTATAAGACTTCACATCCGGTCTAATTCCCTCCCTAACCATCTTTTCAAACAACTTAAAAGCCTTATCCACATCTCCAGCCTTTCCAAATCCATTTATGAGGATGTTATATATAGCGCAATTCGGTCTACATCCATATTCAACCATCTCATTAAAGAGTTCTTCTGCTTTGTTCATTTCCCCTGATTTCAGAAGCCCATCTATTAGAGGACCATAAGTACACGGTGTAGGAGAGATATCTCTGCTCATTAGATCATAATACAAGTCTACCGCCTGCTCCAATCTGTTAGATTTGACGAGGCCTGAGATGAGTATATTATAGGTTATGCTATTATGTTTGCATCCTTTAGAGTGCATCTCTTCATGCAAATCCAACATTTCCGTTGCCCTCTTCGATTTCCCTAGAGCATCAAGCAAAGCATTATAGGTGAAAATATCAGGAGTACATCCCATCCTTTTCATCTCTTCAAAAAGCAGAAGCGCGGTTTCTATGGACTTGTTATCGAGTAGCCCATCGATAAGAGGATTATATGCTTCAAGAGTTGGTCTAACTCCGTATCCCTTGAACTTCTCAAAGAGACGGTAAGCATCAAGAGCTTTCTTATTCTTGCAGAGATGCTTAATTAGAGAGCATAATAAGAAGTCATTTGGGAAAATGCCATTTATAGCAGCTTTTGCAGCAAATGTAACAGAGAGATCAACTCCAGCTTCACGTACTATCCCTTCCATCAAAGATTCCCACGCAAACCTATCAATTTGAGCAACAGGCTGAAGATTATATTTGCAGGCAATTCGTAGAGCCTCTTCTACCAAACCATTCTTCACAAAACCAGGAAGGATACTGCACAAAGTCACAAAATCAGGAGCAAAAACTTTGCTCATCTGATGAAAGAGCCACAATGCTTCATTAATTCTACCCTCTTTAATGAAACCATATATCACAGTGTTGTAAGATAAAAGATCAGGCGTACAGTTCCTTTCACTCATTTCATAAAGCATATCAAAGGCTTTATCAACATCACCAACTCCACATAGATAATGCAGCAAAGTGTTGTATGTTACTGTATTCGGAGGACAATTAAAATAACCCATTTCTTCGAACAATTTGAATGCCTTCTGAATTTTCCCCTCACTACCTAAACCAGCCAAGAGTGTGTTATAAGTTACAACAGTTGGCTTAAGATTCATTTTCTTCATTTTATCAAACATTCTCCAAGCTTCCTCCTCTCTACCTGCCTTATAGAGTGTATCGATAAGTGAATTGACCGTAATTTCATCTGGTTCACAGCCACTCTCCATCATTTCATCAAACATCTTAACAGCTTCATCAGCTTTCCCAGCCTTATTGTAGCATTTGATCATCATGTTATATGTGATAGAATCAGGAGAAAGGCCAGTAGCTTTTAGTTCATAAAAGACTTCTTTTGCTTGTACAAGCTGACCGGACTCAGCAAGACCATACAAACAAGAATTGAAAGCAACAATATCAGGAACAACCCCCTGGATCTTCATACTTTCATATGCTTGAAAAGCTTTCTCAAATTCACCAGATTTCCCATAGTAGTCAATGAAAAGTATGAAAGTGTAAGCAGTTGGCTTCGGACCTTGAACTTCCATATGGCCGAAAATCTCTTGAGCTTTCTCCAATCTGTTTGCTCTAAGAAGCCCACCAATCAATGTGTTGTATGTGTGAAGATTAGGTGAAATTCCCTTACTCCCCATAGTTTCTAACATCTCCCAAGCCTCTTCAATCTTCCCTTCTTTACACAAAGCCTTTATGATTATAGTAAAGACAACCACATCAGCAGCATAACCATCAGATTCCATCGCTTCCCAGAACTCCATCACCAATTTCAAATTGCCAACATCACCAAATTGATCCAGCAATGTGATGTAAGTGACTCTATCCGGCTTCTGATCACTAGATTTCATCTGGGAAAACAATTCCTGGGCTTTATCAAGTCTCCCCGCTTCACATAGAACTCCTATTAACACAGTGTAAGTCACAACATCAGGCTGACACCCCTCTTCTTCCATTCTCCTCAGAAGCCCGTAAGCCTCATCAAACTTCCCAGCTTGCCCGAGTACTCTAATGCAAATAGTGAAGGTGTAAACATTGGGCTTCAACCCTAAAGACTCCATCTCTCTCAAAAGGCCCATCACAGATTCAGTCTTTTTCCTCTTTCCCGATGCGACCATCAATGCTGAATATGTCTTTAAACTAGGCTTTACCCCTTCTGATACCATTCTTTTATACACTTCCATGGCCTCTCTATAAAACCCCGACTGCAGCAAAAAATGAATCAGCCCATTGTACGAAAATGCATTCAACAAAAAACCAGCTTCTCTCATCCTTGATAATGCGAAGGGAGCACTTCTAAGGCCACCGCGGACACCAAGTCCCTTAAATATCGTCAAAAAGGTATTCGCGTTCTTCTTCACAATTTGCTTCTGCATTAAATCAAACACAACAGCCATGTCTTCTATCCTACCATGATTCCTCAAGAACTCAAGCATATAATTGAACGAATGGGTCGTGTGTACAATCTCGGACTGTTGTGCGATGGATTTAAAGAGATCCATTGCCTCAGTTGGGTCATCACTGGACTTGAGAACATCCACCACATTATCTGAACTGACCCAACTTCTTGATAAATCGGCATCAATGCTACATTTTACACTAAACACCCAAACACCCACATGTTTTTTCTTGTGATTTTGGCGATACACAAGAAACCCAGACGAGAAAACCTTCAAATTTTCAAACCCCTGCCTTCTACAATTGCCCAAATCAAAAGAAACAGCTCTCTTGCCATTGGTTCTGTAATTCACTGGACTGCTACAGAGAACTCCAGAGGAGCAGAGGTCTACCATGTTGACACTCATCAAGGCAAACAAACAAAGCAACAGTTTTTGCTCCTCTTTGATTCAGCTTTTGTGCTCACATTGACAAGGAAATAAAATTGAAGGAAAAAAAAAAGATATGTGGGCTTGCTTTTACCTTCAGTGTTGGATACAGAGAAGCGAAAGAAGAGATCTTTGAGAACCTTTGGCTGATGCTTGGGAATTTTGAAGTTTCTTTCTTCGAATTTTTGTGGCGATTTTATCAGGCTACGTAGATTTTTAGTCGATATTTTTGTTGAAATGGAATTGGATAGCCTTTATAAGCCCCAAACTGTGCCTGCTCTTTGATAGCTGCCTTGGGATGGATTTGGGTCGGGTCTGGACATTTGTGGGTCGGATACTTCTATCTTATTCGGACCCGAGGAGTAATAAAAATTGAAAGTTAAAAACAAAAAGCTTATTTTCACTTTCGTACCCCAAAAGTTTGCCGAATTTCATTTTGATATACCAAAGTATTCTTTTAACACTTTGGTATAAAAGCTTCAAGTAATTTCGCTTTGATACTTTTGTGAGGATCAAGCGCTAAGTACACGTGATACAAATTCAATAGGAAATCTAATGAAACTTGGACGAGATTTAACAAATTAAAATAAGATTTAAAGTTTGAGGTATCGAAGTGTTAGAAATATAACTTTGGGTTTGAAAGTAGAAAATTGGCTAAACTATGGGTAGCAGAGTGATAATAAGACTAAACTAAACTCATTCTAAGCCCTACTTAACATCATTTAATCTAGGGCTATCTAGATTTTAGTTCCTTAGATCTTCAATAATTCCACATTAGTCTCTCGAGTCCTAAAAATCGCTCATCAGTCGCTCAAATCTTAAGGATATTGCAATTTTGGTGTCTCAGTGGCCAGAATACCCTCGCCTCTCTCTTCTAACATCTGAACCCGGCCCAATTTACTATTGCTTTTATAGGGGTGCTTCTGTTTATTTTTTTTAATAAGCAGCTAATAATGATGTTTGGTGAAAAATATTTTGGTATACTTATTGAATTTGCTTCTATTTTTTTAAGGGAGTGTTTTTAGAAGCGAGGATACTTTTAGAAGCAGCTTATGTTATTTTTAAGTTCATACACCATATATAGATTTTTTTTCTTTAACAATGAGCAGCTTATATAAGTTACTACTTCAAGCTGCTTTTACAACTAAGGTGATTTTTATATTTGATTACCAAACGGCTTGTTTCAACAGCTTATATAAGTTGCTACTACAAGCTGCTTTTATAAGAAACTTATTATAAGTTTGAGGGCCTACTATGGCATTACAAACATATAAGGGACTAAGAACTAAATAATCAACATAATGTAATTTCATGTGTAATAATCAACATCACGATACAGCACAAACCCTTTTCAAGTAAAACCCTAACAAAACCACCAGTTACACCAAAACCCCCCCAAAATTGATTTCTCGCAGCTCGATTTCAAATCTCACGCTTCGCCTCGAACGGAATGGCGGTGCCAGAATCAGTAGTGGATTAAATCAAAGAAACCATAGATTGCGTCGGCGATCTCCAAACGAATCTCCTCAACTTTTTGTCGGCGGCAGAGCCCGGAGTCCTCGACGAGCTGTCGCCGCTCCAGCGGGCACGTGCTTTCCTCGTGCTCGCCCAGTCTGCTTCCTCTTTGTTGGCAGGTATAAAAACCCTAACCCTAGCTCATTGATTCTTTTGCTTTCATAAAAATTCTTTCTTTTCCTTTTCCTTTGAGCAGTGAGATTGAGGTGCAGTGGAATTCGACCAGATGATCATCCTGTCAAGACTGAGATTGTAAGAATTTATCTCGATTTTATCGTCTAATGTTCTTGCGGGTTTAGTTGTTTTCTGCTAAGAGGTTGATAATTAAGCCATGTGGGTTTAAATCGTAGGAGAGGTTGAGCTTGTGTGAGGGGAAATTGGAGCGATTTGGTAATTGGAACAAAGGTATTCTACTTTTGTTGTTAATTTTGCTCATTTTATTGTGTTCTTTGCTCTTAGTGGTTGGTTTTGTTTGCTTTTCGATGTGTGGCGGATAGTTTTGAAATCTTTGCCTATCTTTGCTCTTAGTGGTTGGTTTTGTTTGCTTTTCGATGTGTGGCGGATAGTTTTGAAATCTTTGCCTACTGTCTGAAAATATTATAATGTTTCCGAGCTTAAATGTGACATCAAATGCTGGGAAATGCTGGGAACTACTGATAATCAATTTTGAACTTGTTTAGTATATATTTGATGTTCATTATGAAGACATCGTTGACATGATGTTGTGCTTGCTGAGCAACCGATAACTGACGTGATTCTAAATATGAAGTCTTTGAAATGGGAATGCTTGCAAGCTTCTAGGCAAAGGTAAATATAGACATGCACATGAGTTTCTATTGATGGTAGGAACCAATAATAGTGGAGACATAGAGCTGAAAACTCCCTAATTGGATTGCATTCGAGTCAACCTCATAGAGCATATAAGAACACCAGAAGGTGAAGGGATCGGTTGTAGTCCTTGTTCATGAAGATGACACCTCTGTAGTTAAAAGAGGGCTTCTTGTTTTGGTGGCTGGCTTTGTTTCCTCAAGATATGGGTATCCGCATGAATAGTTACTATGGCGAACACTGCCATCATTCCGTTTTCAAATATAGTTTCTCTACTCAGGCTTGGATGGTGGAATTCCAGAATTCTGAGAAAGCATGTTAATTTCTCTGGAGGTATCGCTTCTTGCAAATGAGCTTACAAGCCAAGTAAAAAGCCTCATCCCTTTTGTGATCTGTTTTTAGCTGCGGAAAATCTTGTGGCAGAGGTCCAAGCACTTGTGATCTAAAAGCAGATTGAAATAGGCTGTGAAATATCATTGGAAAGACCACCCTAGCTTGCATAGCCCTCAACAAAAGTGATTTAAAAACACTATTTAAACATAGGTTGTGAAATGTGATTGAAAGAACAGCCTATAGAGCTTGTACAGCCCTTAACCACAGTGGATTATCATGTAAACGTTATGAAAGAGAACAAAGTACTAGCTATCAAACCTTGAGTGAGTAAAGGCACAAGGGGGCTTGAATGTTAATCACCATGGGCTTATCCTAATCATTCTATTTTCTACAACTCCTTTGGAGAGATTCGATCTCAGGATATTAATCCGGGAATCTTTGTGGTTCTTTTATCAAAGATCCTCTTTTTGCCCGAACAATTGTCCATAGTTTGATCTCTCGGGCCTTGCCTTTACCTTGTGGTTGTGGCCTCACTCCATATTGGCATATTCACCTGCCCATTTAGGTTTAACACATGGAATGAGCACACTATCAGGTAGATTGAGGAGTCGGACCAGGTAGCCCACGCATTCACGAATCACACATCAGTTAGATTCCCTAATTTGATAGAGATTTGTGTGCACGAGGTTATTAGGATTCAGGCCCTCTCTGAAGTAGTTGGAGCTGAATAATGCTTCTTGTACAGTCCTCTAATTTGTGGATGTGTAATAACCTTGACCCCTTTTGATTTATTCCTAGTTTTAGATTAACTCATCCCTGTTTGATTAATGTAAAGTGGAAACGAGCTAAGGTCCTCGTTTATTCCCAAATATTTTGTCTGTTGAATAGGATTGACATATAAGTGTAATATGGAGTCTGTCCTCTGTAGCATGAAGTTATATTCGTTTACTAGATTATTCAAGCACAAACATTCCAATCATGTCCTGTAAGTTTACTCTTGAGCTTTTAAAGATCTCATTCGGCCACTTGCGATGGTCTTTATCTTTTTTATTTGAAGAAGAGCGGATTCTGTTCTTTGAATGTTTGTACAGTTTTTTCTCTCTCATTGCGTTAGAAATTTTGATCTGTCACTTTCCTCCCGATTAAAAAAAAATTAACCTAAGTAGTGCTTTTATCGTTCATATACATGATATTTTGTCATCAAGTTTTGTGGCCTGTTACGCTTCATTCTTCCTTTTTTTTTTCTTTATTTTGGGGTGCATATCTGTATCTATGAAGAGAGATGGCTAATCCTTTGATATTGGTGTATATAAATATTTATGCTTGTCCTTGCAAATAATTTTACTGACCTCCTTTTCAAGTTTTTGATGAGTTCCCTCGCCAGCTTTCCTCTTTTTTTTTTTTTTTCATTTCAAGTTAGCCCCTGTTAAATTACCAAGCGGTCTTTACCTGGCTTCTTCTACAGCACCACTGCGGCCATCGACTACCCTAAATCGTCAGGCAGCAACACGATTCATTGGACGTTCGCTACCAGATTTGACACCAGGTATATATATATATATATATGTAAGCCAATAATTTCTTTCCGTTTCATTGCTTCCCTCTATTATTCCCTGTTCCAAGGCATTGAGTTTTTCTTCAGGACAAAGGCAAAGTATGAGGGAGATTAGTAGAGGAGAAGGGGACACAAGGAGTCGATTTCCTGAAAACCACAGATCGCAGAAGAAAAGAAAACACTCGTCGAGGGAGAAGCAATCCGTACGTGCCGCCGCTCAAGAGTTTCTTGAGAAAGCAGCTCGTGAGCTTCTTGGCCCTGAGGATCATACGGTGAAGGGTCCTTTGCGGGATGAGATTTGTGATGACGAGGATGAACTTGTAGGCTGATTAATTAGTTATTAATCGGCTCTTCAGGTACCATCTAAAATGCAACTAGTGGGGTTCTAAACTTTGTCTTTTAAGTGATTATTATTAAATAATAGCGTAAAATGTTTACCATTGCTTAGTTATGTTAAATGCCTTAGGTTGGAGTATATACGAGAACTATTCTTAAATACATATATACATTTGGTATTATAAGAAAATGTTTAAGATGTGACTTGAGCTGCTCATAGTGTTCTTTTCCTGTAACTTTAAATGCGTTTCATGCTGTAATTTATGTGGAAGGCAAGAATGCGAAAACGTTTCCCTTCGTTTGGTGGTAAAATGTTTTCTTTAGGGAAAATTTACAAAATAGACCGTTTTTATAAAGTAATTAGCGAAATAGACCACTTTTAAAAGTAATTAGCAAAATAGACCTCTTTTTGCCCAATAGGCCAAAAAGAGGTCGATTTTGAAAAAATGGCTTCAGAAAACATACGGGACTAGTAGTCCCGTATGTTTAAAGCTAACTAATCTAATGATTAGTGCACTAATCATTAGATTAGTTAGCTTTAAACATACGGGACTACTAGTCCCGTATGTTTTCTGAAGCCATTTTTTCAAAATCGACCTCTTTTGTCAAAAAGAGGTCTATTTTACTAATTACTCTCAAAAGTGGTGTATTTCGCTAATTACTTTATAAAAACGGTCTATTTTGCAAATTTTCCCTTTTCTTTACGGCCAGAAAAGAATAAGAAGAAAATAGTTTTCCTAAACACCACCGTAAGAATTTTATAGAGTTGTAGACTTGTTTTAGTTGTATTCCTAATTTGACAGAGTTTTTTTTAAACGATTAATTAATATTTGCTAAATTTGCTACTAAAATCAATCAAAATTTCTTTTCAAACTCATCTTAAAAACTTAAAAAATAGAAGTAAAACAACAACCTCCTCAATCTCTATCGGATCTACTACACCATGGAAACCCACGGATCCGGATCCAAATCCGCTTTCCGCCGCGGATCCACAAGCCAAACCGTATAGAGATTCGCAAGGACAACGCCAACGAGGTCCGCCACGGCGTCCTTAACGGACCCACCCGCGGACTCCCAGATCCCGATCTCGTCTCCGGCC